TTAGCTGAAAGAAGAACACAAAAAGAACAAGAGAAAAACGAAAGAAGATTTCCATGTCTTTCTGTGTAAACTCTGAAGAGAAAAAGAAATAAAGTTTTATCGTTTATGCTTATTCTATTCGTGTGTACCATGCATTCAATTTTGTTTTCTTGCGAGACCTAAAAGACCAGGAAAATGGAAATTCTTTTGAATATTGTTTCGTTTATGCTCATGTTCATTCTAATCCTTCATTTATTCTGTCTTGTTTCACAATTAATAATCACTTTTGCTTGTGCTGTAAGACTAGTATGACCAAAGACAGCACCAAAAGCACCTTCTTGTGCAGTAATATAAGAGTGCTTCTTGCGCTCATATCTTGTGTAAAATTAAAACAAAATCTAATTTACATTAAATCAATCATCATGGTTGAAAAGAGAAATTGCAATACGCTGGCAGAGTATTGCAAAAATCTTTAAACTCAACATCTATGCGAAATGATTATCACGAGCCAGTCAGACTAGCCGTCTACTTTGAATATTTAATGGTTTATTTGTGCCTATGATTGCACTATTATAATATTGAGGGATGTTATAACAGTGTCTACAAAGCAATAAAAAATTTAACTTCCGGTGATGTTCTACTGTTTGGTAAATGATTTAGCCAAAATAGCTATTTTGCATGATTGTATAGAACTATTGCAATCATAAAGATAATTCCTCGGGAGAGGAAACTGTTTCCAAATTTTCGAATCCAACTTGAGGGCTCGTCATGAATGCTCGTCTGTCCATTATGTTCAATGGAGATGATTGACTTCGTTTGAAAAATCTGACAGTAACTTTTGTGCCATAAAGTAAACCTTTCCTGTAAATGTTTGCAGTTTACAGCTGTTTTCTGGAAATCATCGTAAAGTACCAGTTTTGATAGAAATTTCGACAGATCGTCTGCAAACACTGGTTTTTGAAAATTTATATGCTCCTACAGTTCGTCATGATTGTATTTTAACATTATTCTTACAGTTATTCATGGCACTGAACGATGAAGATTGAGACTGCGGTATGTGTTTGTTTGTCAGTTGTTTGCTTGTTTGCTTCATCATACTGCAACTTTTTCCTCAGTATTTTTCAGATGCAGAGGTCGATAAGATCAAGAATAGCAGAACAGAGATGTAAGCATGTATTTGTTTGTATCGTTCATCAAATCTTCTTTGCTTCAATTTCTTTCAGAATCACATTGCCGTAACCTGTCATTGTCAAGCAACGCTTCTTGCAGTAAGTTAAACCAATATTTATTACTTATTTTTGGAGAAGATATTAAAATTTAAAGAAGGCATGTTTCGAGAAGACAAAATTTTCGACTTCCATTCTTCGGTGTTTGCAGATGATCATAAACATGCACAAAACACAAAACATGCACATAAAAGATTTTTACAATATTCTAACTAAACTAGAGAGTTCCCTCGCTCTCTAATTTAGTGAAGAATTTCAAAAGAAATTCAAGTATTCCAAAAGAGACTTCTGCCACCTATTTTGAAATAACTTGCACAAAATTTCAAGCAGCGTACACTTGATATTCTCATAGAAATTTTTTGTAATTAAAATAAGATCATACGTATGTAATATAAAATTTGACTAAATCAAAACAATTTTTCAAATGATAGCCAAGTATTCGAAACTTCGATGTAAACTAATAGAATTTGTATGAATACAATTAATAAGAACTTACTGTTTGTTCATTCTTGGAGGAAGATTGGGTGGTTGGAAATGGCATTAATTTTTTGGGAAACGGATGTTTTATATGGACCGTTTACATTCTATATAATAAGTCGTTCATGTTTTGATTGACGTTGTCAGTCAGTGAATTGTAAGTCAAGATGTATCAACTATGAAATACAACCGGAAATCCTTATATATATGTGTCTCTATGTATTGTGTTCAAGAGTAAAACAATCTTCCTTATTATATTACATTTACCATTCACTATGGTATTTGCTATCTTTAGAACTATGTATTATTTCTTTCTCTACAATGTTGTCGCTTTTACAGGGTAAAAGCACGAAAATATTTATATGACATGAACAAACTTGCTTGATGACAACTTTGCTCAGTCAAATACTTATTATCTATCAATTACGTATTTACAGAAGTCTTGATTTGAACTACATTTATGCGTTTATTTGCTAAACCTAGTCTTCCCCAATGTTGTTTTCTTCTTATTTCAGACATCCTAATGTAATTATATTGACAACATCGAACATAACTAGAGCCATAGACGTTGCGTTCGTGGACAGGTTGAAAATATGTTTGTGACTCGAAAGTTTTTAATTCACTTTCTCATCTAACTTCGCTATTTGTTCGCCCACAGAGCCGACATCAAACAGTATATTGGTCCGCCATCAGCCAAAGCTATTTACAAAATTTACCATTTGTTTGTATGTAACTTATGTCTTCTTGTGCACGTGATCAACGAAATGGCTGCCGGTCAATTATGTTTTCTGGCCAAAGGAACGCCGAAATGGCTTACCGCAACCTGTCATCATATACAATATAAAACAACAATTTGCCTCGTGAAGTATATCCCTCTTCTCAGTACTTTGTACCTTTACGTCTACTGCTTTATTTCCATACCACAATATAGTCGTTTGTGCAAGTTATACAAACATGTTGCTTAAATAGAGAGGTGTGCAGCTATATAGAAATTGATTGCAAACGATTGCATTGTAGATAATTTTTAATAATCAAAATTAATGTTCACCGTTTCATCACAGACCAGTATCATATCACCAGCCACTCAAATTTTGGATTTAAGGTACAACTGAAAAATACACGAAATTTTATTTTGACGAAAATTGACGGTGTTTGTTAGAAATTTTTGTTCACTTCTATGTTGATGACATGGTTTTCTTTTCCGATGTACAACTTTTTCCCTATTTTCCATTGTAGCTTTGTCGACAACGATGTAACACACTGTAGTCTTGAATTAAAGAAGATAGCCGAGTAAGTGAGTAGATGTTTGTAGATGTAGATCGTCGAGGTTAGTGGTGTCCTGCGAAGGACTGTTGATGTTGATGTTGACTGACTTCTTAACAACCTTAGCGGTAGTCATCTTTAGAGTCAGCATCAACAACAACAGTTCTTTTCAGGACTTTACTAACCTGGACGATCTACATCTACAAACATGTAACGATACTCCCATGTTCAAACCTTTCACTTTAAAGTAAAGTGATGTCACAGAGTAAAATAAACATTTCTTGTCTTAGTTTATGGTAAATATTATGTCACCCAGTCTTCATGTTTTCAAGTTAGTATTCTTCTCGTTTTACAAAGAAAACGAAACTACGCCCGGGGGATTTTCAGAAGTTGTCTGAACCCTGGCAGTATGTTCTAGTTTCTTTTATGAGAAGAATTCTTGTAAAGAAAAAAGACAAATTTTGAAAGGAAAAACCCGTTTTCGGTCCATGCTTCCCGATACCTTCTTAAGCGTAAGGCACTAAAACGCGGCATGTTAACGTTTCGGTAGCAGATTTCGGCCCCTCCACGCTATCCTACTTGGGAGATGCAATAGCAAGCTTCCGCCCATCAGACCCCGAGATCACCTGCGATAGGCTTTGCTCGGGGTACGCAGGAGAGTGCGGTCGCCACCGAAGTGTGGACCCTAAGCCACTGCATACTATATCGCACCCAGCTTCCACTGCTAGTTGACATCTACTATATGAAGCTATAGATTTATATTTATATATACAAAATTTAGAGGCTTACGAAATTTGTGGTATTATTAAAGTCACAACTGCGCATGCCCAGATAATTTCTTTGATAATTTGCGATTAAGTGGGATAATTGCCCCAGATGTAGTGCAAGTACATCTAGTTAGTCGTTGCCATGACTATAAACAATTAGTCGAGTGGGCTGCGCATGCTCGAGCGCATGCGCAGATGATTTCTCCATTAAATTGTTACTAAACATGCTATTTACTTCAAAATCGGGGCTAGTAGATGCAATTGGTCGTTGCCATGACCATGAACATTGGCAGCCAATCAATTTAACTGCGCATGCTCAGTTGATATCTTTAATAGTTTGTTAATAAGCAAGTTATATACTCCCTAATTGATGCTAGTAAATGTAGTTGGTCGTTTCCATGACTATCAACTCGGACAATTGGTCAAGTGGACTTTGCATGCTTGAGCGTGCTGCATGCCCAAGCGTACTGCGCATGCTCAGATGATCTTCTTATATTTTTGTGACCAAGCGATTAATTACTCAGTAAGTGATGAAAATAGGTCCAGCTTGTTGTTGCCATCACTATGAATATGAAAAATTTGTTAAATGACTAAATTTCTCATTATGATTGAAATTTATGATTTCCCAATATGTGACCAAGTGAACCACAGAAGGATGCAAGCTTGTTCTGTTTGTCATTGCCATGATTGTAAACTCGAACAGTTTGTTGAGTTGTTTGTGCATGTTCAGATGAGTTCTCAAATAATTTAGGACTGAGGTTTAAAATATACCGTCTTAATACTTGCAACATAAATAAAATTTAACTTTGTATTACATCTACATTTAAGGCGTAAAGATGTTTTTTCTTTGTTATCGTAGTCAGTAGTTATCAAGTAATGGACCACTCTCAAATAATCACGAATATTGGTTGACTTTTGGTTAGGTTTCTTTGGGAGGCCCTTCTCCTTTGAACTTGCAAGGAGCAGTCAAGCGTCTCACTGTGATAAACCTACGAAGTATTCTTTCTCTCATTTTCTTGTTTAGAAAAAGTTATCAACTAAGTGGTCGAACTCTTCGTAAACTACCATTCCTTGCACATGCGCTGTACTCAAAAGTAAGTAATACGAATTAAAGCCTTCACCCGTGTTCTTTGTTGTACATGCATGTACTTATATTGTCCCTCAAACCTACGTAATAGGCGCAAACGATAACCTTAGAAGAGTTTTGAATAAGCGTGCAAATGTGATCTTTTTAGCGATTGTATACTTTTATACATTCATAGTAATATTTTGGATATGTTTTGTTGAAGATTAAGATTTTGTATTGCTCAATTTAAGTTCAATAAGTAACATAGATCACAAAGTTTGCTAATTTATATTGATGCTTTAAGACTCCTTACATGACGTTTCCGCAACACACCCGAGGTCAAAGTTCGTATATATTAAAATGCAACAATGTGTATAGTTCGTTATTGAGGATAATGTATAGATTATTTTACATAGGGAAAGATATTTATACGCTATAGTTAATTGTAACTGTTTAATTTCAACTTATGTTTACATTAAATGACATCCTTAAGCCAACTTTACTAATATTGATCGCTATTTTCGTGTTATACATCTATAATCATCTTGTTGTTAAAGATTTGAAGCTTTGCTGCGATAATACAGGTTTGTACAGCTATCTCATCTTTGTTTGTTGCCTGCCTGATAGCATGTCGACTCCGGGGACCAGATTTTTTATCGTGATTTATATGACATTATAGATTGTCGTACGTCTATCTAATATCTTGAGTATAAACGATATGTTTTGAAAGATGAGTTTACATATACTCTAGCGTAGTGTCTTCATCAGGAGTGATCTGATGTTGAAACTTGAGTCTTTATATACTCCAGTCTAGTGTCTTCATCAGGAGTGATCTGATGTTGAAACTTGAGTCCTTATATACTCCAGTCTAGTGTCTTCATCAGGAGTGATCTGATGTTGAAACTTGAGTCCTTATATACTCCAGTCTTATGTTTTCATCAGGAGTGATCTGATGTTGAATCTTGAGTCCTTATATACTCCAGTCTAGTGTCTTCATCAGGAGTGATCTGATGTTGAATCTTGAGTCCTTATATACTCCAGTCTTATGTTTTCATCAGGAGTGATCTGATGTTGAATCTTGAGTCCTTATATACTCCAGTCTAGTGTCTTCATCAGGAGTGATCTGATGTTGAAACTTGAGTCCTTATATACTCCAGTCTAGTGTCTTCATCAGGAGTGATCTGATGTTGAAACTTGAGTCCTTATATACTCCAGTCTTATGTTTTCATCAGGAGTGATCTGATGTTGAATCTTGAGTCGTTATATACTCCAGTCTAGTGTCTTCATCAGGAGTGATCTGATGTTGAATCTTGAGTCCTTATATACTCCAGACTAATGTCTTCATCTGGAGTGATCTGATGTTGAATCTTGAGTCCTTATATACTCCAGTCTAGTGTCTTCATCAGGAGTGATCTGATGTTGAATCTTGAGTCCTTATATACTCCAGTCTTATGTTTTCATCAAGAGTGATCTTTTATTGAAACTTTCGCTAGTGTTATTTAACCATGTTATCTAAAACTTTATCCTACATAGTCCATTTTGTATTTGTGTTTCCACTTGTTTTCTTTAATGTTTTAAAATAATGTTCTTGACAGCAGAGAATTATTCTCATTATGATTTGGTCGTTGGAATACTTTCATCGCGCGGCAACTTTGATTTGAGGCAAAGTTTACGTGAATCATGGGTTGGCTATGCAAGACGACATTCATCTCTAAATAAAAGGAAGCACAGGAAAACACTGAATTTTCTTGAGGGTAGCTGTAGTGTGTTTTGTATTCAATTAGAGCTACTTAGCGTGTGAAACGTTACAGCAAACACAATATTTGTGAAGGTAAAGTGTAGAACAGTGTTTCAAATTGGCCTGTCGCGTTTACAACGAATTTCTTTAATACCAGAGAACGTTTACAACGTATTTCTTCAATACCAGAGAACGTTTACAAAGTATTTCTTCAATACCAGAGAACGTTTACAACGTATTTCTTCAATACCAGAGAACGTTTACAAAGTATTTCTTCAATACCAGAGAACGTTTACAACGTATGTCTTCAATATCAGAGAACGTTTACAAAGTATTTCTTCAATACCAGAGAACGTTTACAACGTATTTCTTCAATACCAGAGAACGTTTACAACGTATGTCTTCAATATCAGAGAACGTTTACAACGTATTTCTTCTATACCAGGAACGTTTACAAAGTATGTCTTCAATACCAGAGAACGTTTACAACGTATGTCTTCAATATCAGAGAACGTTTACAACGTATTTTTTCAATACCAGAGAACGTTTACAAAGTATGTCTTCAATACCAGAGAACGTTTACAACGTATTTCTTCAATACCAGAGAACGTTTACAACGTATTTCTTCAATACCAGAGAACGTTTACAACGTATTTCTTCAATACCAGAGAACGTTTACAACGTATTTCTTCAATAACAGAGAACGTTTACAACGTATTTCTTCAATACCAGAGAACGTTTACAACGTATGTCTTCAATACCAGAGAACGTTTACAACGTATTTCTTCAATACCAGAGAACGTTTACAACGTATTTTTCAATACCAGAGAACGTTTACAAAGTATGTCTTCAATACCAGAGAACGTTTACAACGTATTTCTTCTATACCAGAGAACGTTTACAAAGTATTTCTTCAATACCAGAGAACGTTTACAACGTATTTCTTCAATATCAGAGAACGTTTACAACGTATTTTTTCAATACCAGAGAACGTTTACAAAGTATGTCTTCAATACCAGAGAACGTTTACAACGTATTTCTTCAATACCAGAGAACGTTTACAACGTATTTCTTCAATACCAGAGAACGTTTACAACGTATTTCTTCAATACCAGAGAACGTTTACAACGTATTTCTTCAATACCAGAGAACGTTTACAACGTATTTCTTCAATACCAGAGAACGTTTACAACGTATTTCTTCTATACCAGAGAACGTTTACAACGTATTTCTTCAATACCAGAGAACGTTTACAACGTATTTCTTCAATACCAGAGAACGTTTACAACGTATTTCTTCAATACCAGAGAACGTTTACAACGTATTTCTTCAATACCAGAGAACGTTTACAACGTATTTCTTCAATACCAGAGAACGTTTACAACGTATTTCTTCAATACCAGAGAACGTTTACAACGTATTTCTTCAATACCAGAGAACGTTTACAACGTATTTCTTCAATACCAGAGAACGTTTACAACGTATTTCTTCAATACCAGAGAACGTTTACAACGTATTTCTTCAATACCAGAGAACGTTTACAACGTATTTCTTCAATACCAGAGAACGTTTACAACGTATTTCTTCTATACCAGAGAACGTTTACAACGTATTTCTTCAATACCAGAGAACGTTTACAACGTATTTCTTCAATACCAGAGAACGTTTACAACGTATTTCTTCAATACCAGAGAACGTTTACAACGTATTTCTTCAATACCAGAGAACGTTTACAACGTATTTCTTCAATACCAGAGAACGTTTACAACGTATTTCTTCAATACCAGAGAACGTTTACAACGTATTTCTTCAATACCAGAGAACGTTTACAACGTATTTCTTCAATACCAGAGAACGTTTACAACGTATTTCTTCAATACCAGAGAACGTTTACAAAGTATTTCTTCAATACCAGAGAACGTTTACAACGTATTTCTTCAATACCAGAGAACGTTTAAAACGTATTTCTTCAATACCAGAGAACGTTTAAAACGTATTTCTTCAATACCAGAGAACGTTTACAACGTATTTCTTCAATACCAGAGAACGTTTACAACGTATTTCTTCAATACCAGAGAACGTTTACAACGTATGTCTTCAATACCAGAGAACGTTTACAACGTATTTCTTCAATACAAGAGAACGTTTACAACGTATTTCTTCAATACCAGAGAACGTTTACAACGTATTTCTTCAATACCAGAGAACGTTTACAACGTATTTCTTCAATACCAGAGAACGTTTACAACGTATTTCTTCAATACCAGAGAACGTTTACAACGTATGTCTTCAATACCAGAGAACGTTTACAACGTATTTCTTCAATACCAGAGAGCGTTTACAAAGTATTTCTTCAATACCAGAGAACGTTTACAACGTATTTCTTCAATACCAGAGAACGTTTACAACGTATGTCTTCAATACCAGTGAAATGTTTGGTAAACTAATCTGATTACCGATATGAGTAACGTTTTAGCAATTGTCAGATCTACGTAGAATCGAATTGGACATTTTAGCTGACCGCCATTCTTTAAGTAGTGTAGCGTTGTGCGTTTCTATGATGGCCTATTGAATATACCAACAGCAAGGTCTTTAGTTTCGTTTATCAGTTTTGTTCTACACAAGAACAACTCATGCAAACTGCATTCTTTGTCATATGATAAATTTAACTGTGTTGACTAACGTCATTGTATTGAGGCTAAACTCGAATATTCACAAGAAATAACGGTTCACGGTACACTTGCCTAAAATATCCCTTTCTTTGCTGTGGTTTTCTTGGCCAGAGTTCCCAACAACCGTTTCTGTCGCAAAAAAAATTGTACCAGTGATATAACTAAGTACAATGACTAAATCTGAAAAATAAAGTGTTGGTTACTATTCCATTGTTGTTTTAGAGTGTTGGTGAAGTTCATCGTTTCAAATAATGCATGTTACGTTCCTCCAGAGTTCAGGATTGATCCTTACAAATGCGAAAGAAAGAAAATCGAATCTCCAAGTTTGAAAATTTACTTTTGATTTGATAGTTGTGAGGTTTGGCGCCTGGAAAAAGCCGATATAAAACAATATGACGTTGGAATCTCGATGCAGGCGATAAACTAACGAGGCACATATTTACAAACGTCGAACATAACCTACTATACATGTGATATTTAAAGTTAATCAGTTGTGGATTACTCATTACGAAAAGTAAACCAAGACATTGTTAGTTTTTACTTTTTGCTGCTTGGAACTTGCTAAAAGTGCCGTTTTTAGACCATTTATGATGTTGAAAACCGTACGTGCGATTGAATATCGACGAAAAGACTTTCGTACCATCTAGTGTTTAAATGCGCGAGGCTAAGAACTGACGAGGATTTCCCTATTTCTGCAGACTGTTTTGATAATTTTTAAAGTTTATTTTGAACTATTAATTTCTTTTGTATCGTTCACACTATGTTTTACAAACGCAAGCTAGGAAATGCAAAGGCAAAGGAACGTAAAGAACGCAAACGTTGTCAAGAGACTGAGCTTAGTGGAGGGATTAAATATCACCAGGCCTCGTAATTTTGCCTTAGCCTACATGCTCCATAATTATTAATCAGCCACTGCTGCGAATTTATCATTGCTGTATGTATTTGTAGCGAAGATCAGACAGTCTTGATGGAAATATGTGTTGCTATCTCTCATGGAGATTTTACCGTCATAGAGGCTGGAACGAGTGCATGATCAAACGTGTTTATATGTTTGTCATATTGATGTTTAGACTACGAAAATGAAGTAATTGCTTACAAACGAGCAAATGAAGAAAATTTGAGATATTTTCACAGTGGATCTATCGGATGGGACTTTGATGTGAGTATTAGTTAGTTATTTGTAGCCATTAAGAACTGCTCAACGGACACTGTTGCATTGAACTTTGGGACCTTCTGAACAAAGTCTGAAACCTGTTGCATAAAGTGTCTGTTTGGCTTCAGGAGTAAAAATTTGGGTTGGCAATACAATACAATTATTTTTATACAGATCATCCGTCCCATTATTTTGACTCGTCTTGGCATCTCTTTATCATCGTTGAATTCAAAAAGAAACTCTTCTGTTCGACTCTACGACAGAACAACTAAGGTTAAACCATGCAGTTTATAAATACCGTTTACAAGTTATTTGATCTAAATTGTTTTATCTCGTTTCAGAGCGAAATTATATCTGTTTATTTCTCTTTCCAAGACCCTGGTACAACAGAAAACGGTTCGTCGTTTAAAGCAATTGAAAACTTTATTTTGCCAAAGGTGAGTAACAAGTCGATAATTTATCAAAATATTCAAGTGAATTGTTTGAGCTCGGGAGTATCGTTATCATGTTTGTACAGGTTAGTAGAGTGCTGAGAAGGGCTGTTGGTGTTGATGTTGACTGATGTTTCGACAACCTTAGTGGTTGTCATCTTCAAAGTCGAGTGAGGAGTAAACGTCTGCAAGCAGATAACAAATATGGCAAACCTGACGTTTACTCCTCACTTGACTCTGAAGATAACTACCACTAAAGTTGTCGAAACGTCAGTCAACATCAACACCAGCAGTCCTTCTCAGGACTCTACTGACCTGATTTAAACGATACAAATGGCTTGGCTTATTAAATGCTAACTTTGTAAAATCTATTATAAGAATTAGATAATCCATTTTTTCCATGAAGCTCATGGATACTTTTGTTCATGATATGAGAGTTATATTGTATAAGGAGGCTCTCGTTCATCACGAGAGAGTTATGAGATAGTTACCTTGTAAAAGTTAACATGTAAAAGCGTATAAACATATTTACAGTTGGTTTAAATTATAAGTCATTAAGGCGGAATTTTTTAACTTTGCAATATCCTTGAATGTTCTAGTTTCTTTTATACAAAAAAACATTAAATTCAAAAGCAAAAAACCCCGTTTTCGGTCCATGCTTCCCGATACCTGCTTAAGCCGAGGCACTAGAACGCCGCATGTTAACGTTTCGGTAGGAGATTTCGGCCCCTCCACGCTATCCTACTTGGGAGATGCAATAGCAAGCTTCCGCCCATCAGACCCCGAGATCACCTGCGATAGGCTTTGCTCGGGGTACGCAGGAGAGTGCGGTCGCGACCCGAAACGTCTGGACCCCTAAGCCACTGCATACATATCGCACCCAGCTTCCACTGCTAGTTGACATCTACTATACCTAATATTGGCTTTATATATATATACAAAATTCAGAGGCTTACGAAAGTTGCGGTATTATTAAAGTCACTACTGCGCATGCCCAGATGATTTCTTTGATAATTTGCGACTAAGTGAGCTAATTGCCACAAATATAGTGCAAGTACATATAGTTAGTCGTTGCCATGACTATAAACAATTGGTCGAATGTACTGCGCATCCACCTGCATGCGCAGATGATTTATCCATTTAATTGTTACTAAGCATGCTATTTACTTCAAATTCGGTGCTTGTAGATGCAGCTGGTCGTTGCCATAACTATGAAGTCAAAAACTGTCAAGTGAACTGCGCATGCTCAGTTGATATCTTTAATAATTTGTTAGTAAGCAAGTTATCTACCCCTAATTGATTCTAATAAATGCAGTTGGTCATTTCCATGATCGTTTACTCAGACAATTGGTCAAATAGACTTTGCTTGTACTGCGCATTTCCAAGCGTACTGCGCATGCTCAGATGATTTTGCGTACATTTATGTGACCAAACGATTTAATCACTCAGAAAGCGATGAAAATAGATCCAGCTTGTCGTTACCACGACTATGAAATTGAAAAATTTGTCAAATGGACTGTGCAGACTCATATGAAGTTTAAAGCCTAGTGCCAAACACTAATATATGGGGCGCCATCTGTGGTTTTATTATTTAACCGCATAACACTGTAATTTTCCCTGATTTATTAAATAACCAATTTCTTATTTTGGTTATTTAATAAATAACCACTTTATGAAAACATCGAAAATTGGTTATTTATTAAATAACCATTTTCTACACACGCCGAAAATTGGTTATTTATTAAATAACCAGTTTCTGCGCACGCGAAAAAATGGTTATTTATAAATAACCAAAATAATTTCGAGACACTTGGCGTGCCAAATGACGTCAGCAAGCAATAAAATAATTTTCTCAGTCCCCCCCCCTGGATAAGCACTCATTTCCGCACTGTCGCGTTATTGAAATTAGATCGCTTGTCGCGAAAAATTTCATTTTGTCTGTAAGTTTCCCGCTCGGCGTGTTTTCTATTTGTCTTTTTTGTCAAATAAATATGTCTCAAACGCACAATCTCCAAAGAGCAATTACCGAGGCCGTAGGAAGAGCAGTACACGAGGCACTGCGAGATCAACATGAAGAGGTAAGATACAAAGCAAAATATTCTCCTTTCATACTTGTAAATATTCAATGTGTGATATGCGTCGAATCACGAGGTCGTCGATTTTACGTGATAAAATTCTTACAATTTTAGTCCTCTGATGCAGCTACTGCCCACGAAAATAATAATGAACCACAGGTAACATTCTAGTGTATATGGGTGCATCCAAGTGAAAACATCGTTAAATTTTGATAAATTTATAACTTTGCCAGAATTCCAACTCAAATGATGAAAATGAGGGGTAAGAAAACTTAGCAAATATTATGTGGTATTTCTATAGTACTACATTTGTATTGAACTCATTTCATTTTAATCAGTAACAATTCAGGAAGAGTTGGTCGACCAAAGAAAATAATTCCAAGGGATGTATTGGAAAATTTGCTTCAGTTACGACTTACGATTGTGGAAATTGCCAGACAGTTGAAAGTCGACAGGTCAGTGGTCTACAAAGCAATGTCGGAGTATGGGTTGTATCGAGAAAACTTTTCACAATTGTCACAAGACGAAATAGAGAAAGAAGTGGACGCCATTAAACAAAATCATCCTAAGGCTGGCGAGGTCATGGTTCAAGGGTACCTTGAATCTAGGGGTCTTTACATTCAGCGACAAAAGTGAGAAAAGCCATTCATATGGTTGATCCATTAGGTGTCGAAGAGAGAAAAGTAAACCAATAAAGCGTCGCATTTATACTAATCCTTTTCCCAACTATATTTGGCATATTGATGGGAACCATAAACTTGTTAGATGGAGACTTGTCATACACCATGGTATCGATGGTTTTAGTCGATTAGTGGTATTTGCACATTGTTCTTCAAACAATCGAGCAACTACTGTTCTATATCACTTCTTATGTGCTGTCTCGAAGTATGGGCGTCCTTATAGAATTCGTACCGATCTTGGTGGCGAAAATGTTGACATCTGGCGCAACATGATTTTAACACGAGGCAATGAAACTAAGCCGGTTGTTGTAGGGAATTCAGTGCACAATCAGAGAATCGAAAGACATAACAGAGCACTAAATGAACAAGTTCTAACAAGTTTTAGATCTGAATTTTATGCACTTGAAAGTGAAGGTGTATTGAATGTCAATAATGACACTGATATATTTTGCCTCCATTCAGTGTATCTGCCACGAATCAACAAAATCCTTGACGAGTTTGTTGCTGCTCACAACAGCCATAAAATATCTACAGAAGGAAACAAAACACCTGAACAATTGTTTTGGGTTAACATTAGAAATGCATACCATGAAGATGATATGCTACCAAACACAAGCAATCTTGACATTGAAGAACTAGCGTCAAGTGATTTACCTCACGTCAATGTACCAGATATATCATGCCCTTTGCAAGGTGACTTACAGTTGCAAAATTTTAGTACATTCATTCAATCTCTTTCGGCAGTGAGCGGAAAAGCAGCATACCTTGAGGCTGTTCGTTTCTTGGGACAGTCAATGCTTGATGAGCAGAACCCTGAAGATTTGCATGCACAATAGATGACTTGCCTTGTTTACTTTTGCTAGCAGGCAGATTTGGTCTAGGGCTTTGGAGAACATTAGCAACAATGGTCAACCTCTCTTGGGATTGATCTGCCAGCCAGCAAAACGTAAACAAGACAAGTCATATATGAGTAGAAAAAAATATAGTCTTCACTAACTATTTTATACAGTAATGACATGCTAGGAGGAATATAGATACGTCAGTTAGAAATACGTTGTTTTACATCATTACCAAATCGTAAATTAAATCAACACAACTATTGCTTAGACTCTAACTTCAACAGCTTTCTTATACATGCATGTCTATGGAGCACCAAATGTAGGTGAGTTCAGAATCCCATCGTTCATCATTTCTTGAAATTCTTCATAACTAAGATCATCTTTATCATTATGAAGTGGCAAATACAAAATGTGAGCGCAGGTGTTGCTTTTGGGACGAACATCTTCCCAGAAACAAATAGTTGGTTTGTCATGAAATCCTAAGGGAGGCTCTTCCTCCAACCCAGTTGCAAAAATCATAATCATCGGCAAAGATACAAGAGGCTCTGAAACATTGGCAAAGCAGTTTGCTAGAGAAAAATAAATAAAAGTTGTACTTTTGAAATGGATTGTTCGTCAAAAAGCAATTATTTGATAACACGTTTGATAACAAGCAATTGAATAACGTTTATTATGCAATTAATGCCTGGGGCATTAAATAGACCCTAGAGGTTATAGATACGAGGCGTTTATTTCATTTCTATCACTTCGATCTTTTAAGGTGATGGAAAAGCTTTTAAAGTACCTTCGCACTCTTGTAGATAGTCACGCCAATGCATTATAACGAGCTCCTCCCTTTCACGTCTTCGACAACCATCTTCTGAAAAATCTGGTGTAAATATTCTGTCAACTTCTATCGCGGTCAGCGGCTTGCTACGATGGCAGAAGTATGGGCGGAAGAGAAGTGGATTTCCTTTAATAAGCTAAGAACACCCAGTGTTTTAACCCGTCCTTGAACTGCTCAATTGCACTTCGCTTTATCAATTACAAAAATTGACAAAGCTCTTCCACAAGCTGTTTTCTTGTTTCAAACTTTGGAATGCCGTGAAAGCCAGCTTGTGCAAAAACATCAATGGCATCATCAGATCCTACTATAGTTGCAAACGTTGTTTCTTCTGTAGTAGCACTGATCTACAGACGGAAGTATGATTTGTGAAAATGCCAGCTCAATATCGAGATACAACGTCAGACTTTTCACTATTGATAAAAAAAGCAAATATTTACCCGTTCTATGATACTTTTTACTTCACAATCTTGTACATCGTCGATACATGGGTGGCAATTTTCTTCACCAAATACAATGAAGTCATACATAGAGGGGGGATAGACAATGTCCTGCAGTTCCACCATTACACAAGGAAACGGAAAGAAGTTTTCCACATTGAAAATACAAGTTTTTCCTCTTTGCTGGATGTAAAGGAAACACAATTATGCTGTTCGATACGTGCTTTTGTAGCTATGTAGCTAAATTGATAACGTACATTAATCCCTTCGGCTAAATTTAACAAAAATTTATATCTACGTAATTCAGTTTTATCATGAAGACAATCAACGCACGACTACCTTCTTGGTTCATAACCAGCACCTTTTTCGAGGGCAATCCCAGGAACGCGTTCGAAGAAAAGGCTCCTGAAACTGCAAGGCGGAGAAATTCTCGTGTCGGCCCTCCTAGATCCACAGCACCCTCGCTAGACCCGATTTCGTCGGCAAACATGACAGACAACGGACGTGAAGGATCAAATTTTTTTCTTCCTAGCTTGGCAATACCGTCTTCAAATACATGCTTGCGGCGAACGTTAATAATGTTTTTAGATATGGCTACGTCACAGGATTTTCCAACCATCACTTTATCTATGTGGTCATTCAAAACAGTACTAACCATTTGTTGCGCGCTTGAATCGCTAAAGACAAATAACCAAGTGAAAAAAATTAGCATGGCATCTTGTCTTCCGTTAACGCTTTTTTTAGCTGATTACCATACTTTGCTAAGCCCATGCTATTTTGAATAGCTGTCTGCACCTCATCGTTGTCATCATCGCTAATTTCAATGGGGTCTGGATCAAGCAATCCTAAGAATGACCTAAAAGAATTTAACACAGAAGAAATTTGTTACAGGACACTCTTTCATAACAGCATATACATTGCTAAAGATAAGCTGTATATAATTACTCGTTTTTTATTCTACTATGTCATTGTAATTATCATGCATATTAATAAACTGGAAATAACATAGTCGTTCGTACGTTATCATCCAATATTGTTTTAAAGTCATAGCAATAAATTTGTCATTCCAAAATAGCTGGTGAATATATAAACCAACAATCACAAACAGAAACAGTAAATCCAGACGTTGCACAATAATTTTAAAACAAAAATCAGTAACATAGTGTGTATCCCAACCTACTAGTGTAAAATGGTATCTGACAGCAATACATACTGACCTATAGTGATTGCTCTCAATGGTGGAAGTTATATGATGGCTAGTTGATCCCTCTGAAAACTTTGTGCAGCACCTAGTATAGTCATCGATCCTCTGAATGACTTTGTGCAGCGGTATAGTCATTGATCCCCTGACACACTTTTGCAGCCCGAGTAGACATTGATATATTTAAAAGTTTGTTATCAAAATCATCCTGTCGAGTCATCCTGAAATTTTCATTCAAGGCAATGGCAATATACATTGAAATAGAAAAGAAACCAACACTACGATGAAGAACAATTACTGCTACAACAGACATAGCGAAAGTATCACCCTATATGACTCACTTCAACAATTAAAGCTCCATCAACGTCCTCATTTTTCCCAATTTTAATTTTGGAAATGATGTATAAACATCCTTGAGAACACAGTAATATGACCTCTGGAGCATTCCATTGGAAGGAAGTTGATGTCTTAGAAATGGAAAGCTTTTTTGTACCTTTGGTTATTCTATAAAGATAAAACAAATTAGCTACTTTATAATTGGACACTTTCTTCTTCAATAAATATCATGGGCGGGAAATAAAAAAATATCATCATTACATCATATCATCAAAAGTATCGTCAATAATGTCTAGCAATGACTCAATCACAAATTTTTGTGCATATTGATATTGGTGACAGAATTCAATATAAGTGTAGTAAAACATAAAATACTTGCCCTAAGTAGTCAAATGGCAGCAGTTCACCAGGTAGCAAGTCAAAACTGAGGCAAATATGCTTGTTATTTCACGGGTAACATCCTTTGCTACCCATGGAGTTTAATGAGATTTTTCCAATTAAACCCATATTAGCTAAGCAACCTCGGCTATTTCCACGAGGAATTGGAATATCTTTGCCATTTTCTGATGGTAAAAGGCAAACAACATCTTTGTGTAAAGCTTTGCAGACTTTGATTGGGATGTTGATGACCTTTTCCGTTTTCTACCACCAACATTTGAATATTGAATACAACTGCTTTCAAAAATCGATGGAAGAGGTCTGGTCTGTAAGACATAATTCATTTGATTGATTGCCTGTAGTAAATTGCCATTGAAAAGCCACATTGAATCATAGTTATATAACAATGAGGTGCATTTATAGCAATTTTTTTAAGCAGACAAAACAAGGTGTTAAAAAAATTTTGATAGTGCAGTCATGCATGATAATAATCAGACAAACATTGGCCAACTTACAGCGCTAGAGCTACTTGTTCTACTTTGTGACAACTGTGTGAGCGTTGTCTGACGCTGTGGCTGTCGCTGGGGCTACGGTTGGATTTTGGAAAAAACTTTAATGTTAGATAATAATTTAAACGTTTTCAACGGCACATATTTTACAAGAAACGTGCACCCATATACACTAGAATGTTACCTGTGGTTCATTATTATTTTCGTGGGCAGTAGCTGCATCAGAGGACTAAAATTGTAAGAATTTTATCACGTAAAATCGACGACCTCGTGATTCGACGCATATCACACATTGAATATTTACAAGTATGAAAGGAGAATATTTTGCTTTGTATCTTACCTCTTCATGTTGATCTCGCAGTGCCTCGTGTACTGCTCTTCCTACGGCCTCGGTAATTGCTCTTTGGAGATTGTGCGTTTGAGACATATTTATTTGACAAAAAAGACAAATAGAAAACACGCCGAGCGGGAAACTTACAGACAAAATGAAATTTTTCGCGACAAGCGATCTAATTTCAATAACGCGACAGTGCGGAAATGAGTGCTTATCCAGGGGACTGAGAAAATTATTTTATTGCTTGCTGACGTCATTTGGCACGCCAAGTGTCTCGAAATTATTTTGGTTATTTATAAATAACCATTTTTTCGCGTGCGCAGAAACTGGTTATTTAATAAATAACCAATTTTCGGCGTGTAGAAAATGGTTATTTAATAAATAACCAATTTTCGGCGTGTAGAAACTGGTTATTTAATAAATAACCAATTTTCGATGTTTTCATAGTGGTTATTTATTAAATAACCAAAATAAGAAATTGGTTATTTAATAAATCAGGGAAAATCACAGTGTTATGTGGTTAAATAATAAAACCACAGATGGCGCCCCATATATTAGTGTTTGGCACTAGGCTTTAAACTTCATATGAGTCTGCACAGTCCATTTGACAAATTTTCAATTTCATAGTCATGGTAACGACAAGCTGGATCTATTTTCATCGCTTCTGAGTGATTAAATCGTTTGGTCACATAAATGTACGCAAAATCATCTGAGCATGCGCAGTACGCTTGGAAATGCGCAGTACAAGCAAAGTCTATTTGACCAATTGTCTGAGTAAACGATCATGGAAATGACCAACTGCATTTATTAGAATCAATTAGGAGTAGATAACTTGCTTACTAACAAATTATTAAAGATATCAACTGAGCATGCGCAGTTCACTTGAGGGGTTGTTACATGAGCCCGGCAAGCCGGGCTAAAGCCGGGCTAAGAGATGTAGCCGAGGCGCCCGGCCTCATAAGAACTTCCTAATAAAATATAATTTAGTTTACATGAGCCCGGTTTGCCGAGATCCCGTTTGAGCTAGCCGGGGAGCCCGGTTAAACCATTGAGTTCTATAAGACCTGGAGGGGAAACGTCAACAAAATTACTATAAATTATCAGCGCGCGGCCGCGTGGTCAAAAACATGGCGGATTTTGGTTGTCAAAGTCAGCGGAAAGACGCGGGCTCATAAAATAAAATTTTTCGCCCACGGATTTGACAACCACAATTGCGATTATATAATTAATGCCAAGCACAAAACTTTTTAGAAATTTTATCTTTAAAATGCTGCAAACTTGTTTGTTATACAGATGCTGAAGCAATGCCAGAAAACGAAACATTACACGTAAGATTGTTTCATTTAAAAGTTCAGTGTTTTAAGTCAATATTGAAGTGTGATGGTATATATTTTATAATGTTTTTACTCGTTTTAATTTAAGTTATGTTTATTCAGTCCTATTTGTTCTTTTTTATCGCTTGCTAGACGAGGCAAAGCAACCAGTTTATATGAGATGCATATCTTAAACTTGTTTCAACTGAGTTGAATGGAGGATTTTTGAATATGAAGCAATACGGACAGAGCTATTGAAATGCAGTGCAGGATTAATTAATGAGTTTGGTACATGTCGGATAAAATACCTGTATTAAATTAGTCAACAATTTGAAGATTATGACAACATGATGATGGTGTTTTGCTATGCCAAAAGTTCTTCAATGTTATTCCTTTCAATGAATGTTTATTATGCGTAAACAGTAGTATTATCGTAAACAAGATAAAAACACTTTTTCACAATGCTGCTTCCTGCCGAAATATTTGTCAAGCTTAACATGATATTCATGAAACATTAACATAGTACCGCATCGCGACAAAACTACAATATTTCATTCCAGGTGATTAAAAATTACATAAGATGCATTGCCGCTTACAAGCCGAAAGTAAAGCCA